GATTAAGACAAGGTTGACATCTGGGGAGCAAACACAGTGTTAGTTTCATGATTCTTCTCTCCTTTGACTTCCCCACCTCAGTCTTTGAAATATCTCTGGGTAGCCCATCTTTCACTTGGAAAAGCACTGATTTATGCTATTAAGACTAATTACAGCAGTTTCCTTTCAGCAGACAAGGTCTTGCTGTGTTACCTAGGCTGGAGTGCAGTAGTGCAACTTCAGCTCACTGCAACCTCAACTTCCCAGGCTCAGGTTATCCTCCTGCCTCAGCCTCCAGAGTAGCTATGAACTACAGGCATGCACTACCACATCCAGCTAATTTTTGTATCTTTTCTAGAGATGGGTTTCGCCATGTTGCCCAGGCTCACAAATTAACCTAGCTAGTGGCCCCCTAAATAGGCAGTAAAGTCAGGATTCAAAGCCAGGTTCAAAGGTTGGACTCTAAGATTCACGCTGTCACATCACACTGCCTGACCTGTTAAACTAGCAGATTCAATTCTGGATGAGTGACAGGCCCTTCAAGTGAGTGGGCTCAAAGATTTGACAAGATGCTAGGCTCCCTTATTTTTAAAGTATAACCAGAAGGCTCTCGAACAGGGAATTTCTACCCACACTGCTTTTCCTAGTGCTCAGACTGTCACAGTGCCTGCATTAGCCACTTTGCTGATCTTAGACTTCAAGCAGTCACCAAACTTAACTAAGTCCCTTACTACCAGGGCAGTGGCTGTGAGGACCAAAGGTTGGCCAAGTTCTTGAAAACAAAATGTGGGCACACTGTGGTATCACAGCGGCTGTCAGTGTTTTGAACCCCAGAACTTAGCAGGGGCTGGCACATCGCAGGCACCAAATAGTTGTTCAAATAATCAAATACTAACTAGGTGGCCCTTAAAACTAAGGTAAAAAATAAATCATGGGCAAAATTTCATATTAAGTGCATGAAGCAAGATATTTATGTAACATGATCCAAATTTTGTAAACATTATATATACTAACTGGCCCCCACTTGCTCAGGAACATCTTAGCCATAGGTACCTAAGTAGGCACCTGCAGCCCCTCACTCTGCAACAGCCAACAGAGGGAAAGTCCGTGCAAGGCTCACTCACAACTATCACCAGCCACAGGGAGCACCTGCCCACATGATACCTGGGGGTACAAATTTGAAGTTGCCATTTTCCCTCCATGTCACAGAATTCCTAATGGCCAGAATCCTGTTAGTCATAGCCACAGGCTCTTTTGTATACAGGCTTCAGATGCTCTAGGGCAGGGGTGTCCAATCTTTTGGCTTTCCTGGTCCGCATTGGAAGAATTGTCTTGGGCTACACATAAAATACACTAACAATAGCTGATGAGCTGAAAAAACAACAAAAAAGTCAGAGGCGGGTGTAGTTGCTCGTGCCTGTAATCCCAGCACTTTAGGAGACCAAGGAGGGCAGATCACCTGAGGTCAGGAGTTCGAGACCAACCTGGTCAACATGGTGAAACCCTGTCTCTACTAAAAAAAAATACAAAAATCAGCTGGGCATGATGGTGGGTGCCTGTAATCCCAGCAACTTGGGTGGCTGAGGCAGGAGAATCGCTTGAACCCGAGAGGCGGAGCTTGCAGTGAGCGGAGATCATGCCACTTGCACTCCAGCCTGGGCGACAGAACAAGACTGTTTCAAAAAAAAAAAAAAATCGCAAAAAATCTCGTATTTTACAAAAGTTTATGGATTTGTTTTGGGTCACCTTCAAAGTCATCCTGGGCAGCATGTGGCCTATGGACAACAAATTGGACAAGCTTGCTCTAGGGGATGACTTCTAAGTATAGCTACGGGCATCCCCCTCAAAGTGGACACCATGCAGGCTATGTGGCTTGTACAAGTCACACTATCCCAAATAACATCTTTAAATTTGTCTACCCAGGCATTTCACATGATGTGGCTAACAAAAACTTTTACTGTTAGAGAAATATACAGAAAATCCTGAAGGATGGATATATACCAAAAATGTTAAAAGTAGCTACCTCCTCTGAGATGAGTAAGTTCTGGAGCCCTGACATACAGTGTGGTGGCTATCATTAGTAATAATGTATCGTATACTTGAAATTTGCTGAGATTATATCATAAGTATTCTCACCACATAAAAATATTACACAAATTTGTAAATGTAACTTGTCAACTTGTAAATTTGTTTAACTCAATTTAACAAAGTGATGGAGATGTTTATTAGCCTGGTTGTGGTAATCATCATTTCACAATGTATACATGTATCAAAACACACATTGTATACCTTAAATATATACAATTTTCATCAAATACATCTCTGAAGCTGGAAAGGAATTTTTAAGTTATAGGATTATGACAGTACGTTTCATTTTTTGCATGTTATCTGAATTTCTCTACAGTAAATATATCACTTCTAAGAGACTTACTAAATGCTTAATGAACAAAGTCAAAGGTCACCTGTCTAATGCACTGGACAAGATGTCTATACTCCAAAATTATATTTCAAATTATTTTAAAAGGAGTCTATATAATTTAGCAATATCAAAGTGGTCCAACAGGCATGTACCAGAGCATACAAAAAGATGTGGTCCTGCTCTTGCTGTAAGTAGGAAAGCAAGATGTATGCATACAAAAATGTTTAAATGCCAGGCAATGTGAGTAACTACTGCTAAAGGTATACAAGCGGGAGGTGTTTCATACATGTTTTGAGAAAGGGCATACTTATTTGTGAGCTGCAACAAGGAAGAAGGGCTTCATGGAAAAGGGGGTTTTGAACAGGACTTTGCAGGATTCAAATCAAATCCTGAAAGAGCAATTCAGAAAGAGAATGCCCCTGGGCAAACTGAGATTTGGGAATCAACACAAGCGTCAGGGAGGCCGAGACAGGTGGATCACGAGGTCAGGAGATCGAGACCATCCTGGCTAACACGGTGAAACCCCGCCTCTACTAAAAAATACAAAAAAACTAGCCGGGCGAGGTGGCGGGCGCCTGTAGTCCCAGCTACTCAGGAGGCTGAGGCAGGAGAATGGTGTGGACCCGGGAGGCGGAGCTTGCAGTGAGCTGAGATCTGGCCACTGCACTCCAGCCTGGGCTACAGAGCGAGACTCCGTCTTAAAAAAAAAAAAAAAAAAAGAAAGTAACCTGGCTCTCAGCTAACAGAAGAACCCCCGTGTTTTCTGCGGGAGTGGTAAAAGGTAAAATGATTGTGGGAACAAGACCAGAAAAAGTAGAACCAACCGGCTCAAACGAATTTGGGGAAAACTGAGTTAAACAAATTTATAAGGATTCGTTGTAGTGATCTAAGCTCTCAGTAGGCTAATGTGCGTTGAGTCGCCACTGAGGGAAGGAAGCTAGAGTTATTAGGGTATAGAAAATACCTTTGGCAAAGCAGGAGTTTAACAGATAATGGAGGAAAAACAATGAAGGGTCTGAATGCCAACACTAAACTGGGCATTCTGGCCTTGGTCCCTCTAACAAGGCCTGGATTTCCCACAGAACAAAGGCTAACCTGCTAATATACCTTTAAGGTTTTACACAACAGAACTCAGAACCAGATACTGCTATCACTTTAACATTCCCATCCCACACGCTTATTTATATTCCCAACAAGGGTTAGTTAGTCCCATCTTCTGAGAGCACCTTACAGTCCGCGGCCCCTTCCTGATGATCTGGAAGCCTGGGAAGCAGCACACCTCCTTATGAAATCGCTGAAGGGCGACTATGAGCAACAGGAAGCAGTGGAGGATTCCAAGTATGACATAAGAATACAGTTTTTAAAAATCTTCTAGAAAATTTTTAGAAATCTGATCGAGCAGTTTTTCCAAATTGCAGGTGACAGGCATTTGTTGTAAAACCAATTCAAGGTACCATAACCAGGATTTCTTAAAAAACAAAGAAAAAAAATGTACACATGCACCAGATACATCACATGCAGGAAGGGCAAGTCGTGTTTCAGGACCCTTCTGTCTGTCATGCATACTATACTGACCTCTGTGTTCTGAACTGTAGTTCAAAATGTATTTCTTACTTGGGTCACAACTACAATGTTCAAAAGTCACTGCTCTTATTAGATGGAGGGCTTAAGGCAGAAACTGGAGGCTGCCACATTCACCCAGAAGGCCATGGGATGGTAGCAGTAAGAAGAAAAGATAAACAGAAGAGACACTTAAAGAATGTGGGTAAGAGAAACCAATGAGGCCAAGGTAACTACATCTGGGTAATTTGGGGAGAAGGTAGCTATAACCATAAACAAGCAAACCGTGAAGAGCTGGTTAAGGGGTATGTAGAGATGGAGGGAGGTACATTTGATATCCAGAGACAAGAGGACATCCACATGGAACCATAAAATAAGCCCTCCCTCAGCACCTCAAAAACAAGTCCACATTACTTTAATTTGGTTACCTGTAACAATACTATATTATTTCTTTCACTTATACAATGTTTTAAACTTACGGTCTGTCCTCAACCAAGTGATCAGGGACTTTTAGAAGCACATAATCACACGAAAGAACTAATATCATTAGTTAGTCCCTGGCTATTACATTATTTACCATCCCAAGGGCTTCACTGTGATTTGGTATTTGATGGCTAAGTACAGAAGGGTCTGTCATTTGGCTGTGTGTGGACTATGACTACATCAACACAGGGATGTACAAGCTACCTGAGCACCACTGCACCGGCACTAGTAGGAGAGCACTGAGCCAAAAGGTCCCCAGCGGCTGCCACATAGTCTCTGCCCATCCTGAGTGAAGCTGTACACTTGGCTCAAAGGCCCTGCTGATCCACCGAGAGGGCACAAGGGGGCATGAGGGAAATGGCTGAACTCCAACAAATCACTTTATGCAGGACTGAATCCCCAACACACATCAGAGGAGACAATTAAACGAGGCAGAGTGGACTTAAAGGTAAAATGTCATCCCCCAACATGCCTGTGATGACGAGTTTTGCTTTACACAAGCCTTTTTAAGTAAATTATATTAATTACCAACATTCAAAAACATCCAACATTCAAGGGTTCTGAATCTCGTTTATTAGATAGCACAGAAATAACAGGTCTAGATTATATTACAAAAAGAGCTCAAACTGTTCAGATACAGCAACTGGGCTTGCTAGGAGACAGAAGGGGGAATTCTTCAGACTACTGTACAGGGACACAAAGACTCCTCATCCTAAACAAAGTATTAAGGTACATAGACAAGTTTCTTGTAAAACAGAAAACAGAGAAATCCACAGTAACTCTAACACATCCCTTAAGGAATAAGCATGTATTTGTAGGAAGCAAACAAAGCTTTCCATAGAGAAACCACTTTCACAGGATGATTAGGTGGACCTGCAATGAAGAAAATACATTTCAACAGATGGGTTCAGACTTACACCAAGTTTTCACTGAAATACTTTAAAAAAAAGACCCTTCTCTGTATCAGAAGAATTTTTAAAAAATACATCACGGATAAAATAAATGTCAGAAAAGGTCCAAGTCCTATTCAGAGACATACATTTGCAAATTAATATAAATTTTAAAGTTTGACAACAAAAATATCATTTGGAACTACCTAGAATAGGCCAAGCTAAGTTCGTGTTCTGCTTTAGTGCATTACATTGAAATGAATCTCATTCTCACTATAATTTTTTTCTTTTTAACCTTAATCACGAGCGGCTGGTCAACTGAAATGGACATGAGAACTATATAAATGTCAGAGAAATATGTAAACCTCATTAATGTTTCCAAAAATTCATTTAGGGATAGAAACAGGTCCAAATAGATGCCTGTCTAAATGCACTGCAATTACGTTACAATTATTTTTCCAAATACACAGATATGCTCTGTCTTTTCTCAGCTCATTACTGACTCAAACAATTTGCCCTTCTGGGATCAATTGTTTGCTAATAAATAATTGTTTACAGTCACAAAATTATATTAGGAGGTTTTCTTATTAGTTTTCCTTCTGCACCCTAATAAGATTGAAAACTAGCTGATTCCCAAGAGTCTAACCTTAACCTCGCTTTGTTTAACAGCCCAGGAAATGATGAACCATCTGCTTCAGAAAATAATGGACGGCCAAGAGGAAATATTGTTTAATTGTAGATTAACCTCCTCATGAAGCAGTCTGAAGCAGCTTTAGAATTAGCAACTATAACCAGCAAAAGAAACAAATGGCTCATGAGCGTTTTCCTCTACCATTTAAGGTCCAGAAAGAATGCAAAGGGATTTTGATTACATTTATTTACAAACATTTATTTCCACAGTGGAAACAAAAAATCATCAAGGTCAAAACTGATTCTCAAAACTGCAGTCACTGCCCTCCAATTTTGTTTGCCCAAATACCTTTAATGCAGCAAACCATCAAACCATCTCATGCACTTAAGAAAGTGTTTATTTAAAAAAAAAAAAATTCAAAAACCTCTTTTCCATTATTTTCAGGTTGTTATAATATTAAAATTAGCATTTTCCCTGGTTTCTTTAATAGTAATAAATCCACCATTGGGGAGTACGAATTGTTTTATTATCATCAACATGGCACTTAAGTAAATGAAATCTTGTCAAGTACATGGTGACCTACAAGTTCAAAAGAAAAAAAGAACAGCATGAGATCAAAATGGCCAGCCAGGACAGGAGATACAAAAGTGACAGATTAAATGCAAACACAGCCCTTTATCCAACAGGCTTCACATGCTAAGACTTTTCTAAAGTCAAACCTATAAAAGCATATCTGATATGGAATATTTAATACTCTGCCCCCTCTCAGAGGCTCAACCAATCAGCAAAGGTACCACACCCAATTTAACTCAGCAAAGTATAAGAATCCTGAAAACATTCAGTTATTCCACAAATATGTATCAAGAACTTCCTTTAAGGGCCTGGGGAGAGGGGACAGGGAACTGGGCAAACACACTTGGGGTAGATATTTTATAGTTTAACACATGCCGAAGTATCAGATTTCCCTTAAGCCTGGTGGAGATAATTAAATAAAAAGCTTTGCCCTGTTGGTATCAAAAAATGTAAATGACTCTTCTCAGTCAACAGTTACAACCAAGAACCAAAGACGTCTACGAAAATTTCAAAACTAAGGAAATTTGCAATTCCAGGCAAGGCCATATTACTCTGGGTTTCCAATAAGACCTGAAGGTCACTTACTTTGTGTTAATATTAAAGAAACAACCTCTGTGGAGAGGAAAGATTTTTGGCAGTTCAAATTCTTAAACATCTTAAATAGAATTTACTAAAATAAATTATTCTTGAATTCCTCAACTTAATTTTGAAGCAATGAGCTGGTAATAACTCCAGAGATTCAAATAATAGAGCCTATTCAAGAAGAATGAGAGTTTGACATTCTTCTGTACAAAACAACTAGGCACAATTTTATCCATCAGACGTCTATCAACCTACGGATATTGAAAGCTTGGGAGAACATGATAACATCAACTCCAACCCTACAGTCAGCTGTAATATCGAGCAGGCATCAACAATGCTATTCATGAATTTAGAAAAATTAATAAATCCTGGGTTGAATGCAAGAAAAGGCTCAAATACAGGTGAAGCATACTCACTTGGGTTTTGTTTCTGCATCTGTCACTTGGCGAATGAAGATACCATCTTCAGGATGTTCCGTGTCATCCATTTCATACATATATGATGATGCTATTGCAAGTGTAGTCCCATCATTACTGAAGGCAAGTGATGCGATGCTCGTGGGGTACCGATGGAATTGGCACAGTCGCTTTTTGTTAAATGGATCCCAAATATTTACAAAGCCATCAGAACCACCTGGAAGTAATTTCAAAATAGTTAAAATGGTTCTTAACACCAGACACAGAAATAACCATTATCTTAACAGTTAATTTTTAAGGTCATGAAAATTACATTTCCATAAAGCATTGTATAGATTTTTTCTCACTAAATACCATAAAAAGCAAGCACCAAATAATATAATAATTAAATATAGGTCAGCATGCCATACTTTACCTGTGGCAAATGTATTGTGGATATTGTGAAAAGAAATGGCATTGACTGGGTAAATCTGCTCAATATTATTTTCTTTTAGTCTGTGACATTTGAAGGCATACTTCTTCTTCTGTACCTCAGGGCTTGGGTCCAAATACTCAACTGCCACTCGGCCTTCAATAGAGCTTAATACATAACCCTGCCAAGAGAGAACCAGAGGGAAAAAATGGTAAATTCCAGCTTCCAAAAACAAGGTGCTAATTCCCAAATTCAACCCACACTAAAGAGTGATTATTTCAGAAATGAGAAGTACAGCAGGCTTTAATGAAGCGTTTAGGCTGTACTAACATAGTTACGATGACTTTAAAAAGAAAATAAGACTGGCATCACTTGCTTTCCTCATAGGTACCAGGGCCTTGCACATTACAATAAAAAATGTCTAGTTATTTCATCAAACCTAAATTTAAAGTGTTTTAGTGTCGCTTATTTGTTGTCCTGTTGTCCTGCCCAGCAGACTCAAATTTGTTCCCTCAGTTAAAATATATTCTTCTATGTTCTGTGCCTCTTCATCACGAACAACTGTTAAGAATTGTGTTTCCTTCATTGGGGGTATCAATAATCCAAATAAACTGGAACACCAGTCTTCCATCTCAGTCATGCTACTTCTTACATTTAGTACAGTAAGTCAGGTTTGCACAAGGACTTTCAGGGACATTCAAAAGTGGTTTACAATTTCAAACGTTTTCTCATCTTTCCTTGAAATGACAATATCTTAAAAAATAAGAGAGAACACACCAAATACAAAATCTATGATTTTTTAATCCTTCAAGGTATGAAAAAGATTTATTCCTGAAAACTGTTTATGAAGAAATAGGTCAGTCAGTAAAATCCGACTTTTTAACTGCCATTACAAAGTAGAAATAATCTTATAGAAAATATTAGATATAATGGCATTAAAATAATGTTCACAATGTAAGCATATTTTAATCACATATTTAAATCTCTAAAGTTTCACATAACTGCAATTCTTTATCTTCAATGGAAACTTCCAATTTCCTAAAAAAAGGAACTGTGATCACCATTTGAGGTACTGGCCTTTGCAGGTTAAAAAGCCAAGAGAATAACATACCTGCTTCAAGTTCTACAACCACCAAAGGACAGCCATAAGATACCAAAGACACCTTCTATTTTTAATGACTTTTCCTCTTGCAAAATTTCTATTGCAACTGACCACACCACCATCTCCTCTTAAAACTTTAAGGACCTGAGGGAGGAGGGAGATCACTAACAAACAGGCTAATCTTATTTAGCGATGGAAGGGCACCCTGTACATCCATCATAAGAGGGGCCCTGCCTCTGTAACCTCAGTTGAGTTTAAGAAAAAAAAAAAAACAAAGTTCTATTGTCAAACTGGGGAAAGAACTCTATAAGCATTAGGGTTACAAAAAGGCAAAAAGAAAACAGCAAATTCCATAAGCTTAAAATCCAGATACAAATTTCAATTCAGCATTTTGTAAACTGAAATATCTGCAAAGCCCTCTTTGATTCTGTATACCTATGAAGCATCCTGGACCAGGATCAACAAAAGATCAGAAGACCTCCTCTATTCAAACCACTTCCTGAGCACATTACTTGGTCTCTCTGAACATCAAGGTCGTCTCTAAAATGGGGGTTAACGCACTTCCTTTTAACACATGGCTGTCAAAAATATCAAGGAATACACCTAACAGCAAATCCTAAATCACTACTGAAAAAAAAAAAAAAGAAGGCTTTAGGGGATAGTGGCCAAATCATTATAATATAAGATCATATTATTTTCAAATTCCAGAAAGAAGAGGGAGTATAGTTCAGTACCTGCTTGTTTGGAAACGCTCGTATGCAGCGAGTCTGGTATTTCAGGCTGGACTCCCTGCGCTGCTGCACATAACCCATGTTCCGTAAGTCCCACACCAACACTCTGCGGCCTGCTGTTCCCACAATCAGCCGGTCTCCAGAGACTGAGAGGGTATATACCTTTTAAGAAAGACCAAAACTTGCTAAAAATCACCTACTTGCCTAAAAATGGCATTTTGCCCCAAAATAAAGTCCATCTGATCATAAAACCATAAAAAATTAGCTGACTGAATTCCCCAATCACAAGTAACAATTTTAGATACTGCAATTATTTAAACCAAGTTTGCACAAAATAGCACACCCATGATGCTCTTCATACTTCACCAAGCATCATATAATGTACATTCTAAGTAATTCTGTAAAGGAGCTTTTGAAGTCTTAATTCTCTCCATTACTAAAACAAATTAAACTATTTTTCCCAGCCTTCATGTTTCATTTAGAGACAACATAAAAGTGTAAAAAAAATTCAAGGAGGAGATAATAAAGCCATAAAATAATTCAAGGTAGAGTTTAATGGGTTTCTGGCTTTTCATAAAACAATCATTTTCAAAATTATTTTTCTATAATCACCTTTTAGAATATTTCATTTTGCAACTCTAAAAATCTTGATTTTTTTTTTCCCCCAGTTGTTACATGGAATAAATAGGCCTTTCCAGGAAGAGTGAGGGAGCCACCACTAATTAGATGTTTAGTAGCCTTTGGTGGCATATAAACTCAAAATTAAAAGACAAGACAGTGGTCTGACACACATACAACAAAGTAATTCTTGTGCCCTTACGTAATACTACACATTCAAGACAGAAGTTCAACATTAGGGAAAATTTTTAAAAGTAGTGTATCCCCTCTTTTTCTCCTCATAATGCCTTTCTTCAATATTAAACTTTCCACAAAAATTCCTTTATAATAAATCATAGAATTTCCTACAAGCGAACATTTAGTGGTTTATTTGTAAATATAATGTTACTTGGAAACAAAACAGAGGTAGCCAACTCATTAAAAAGGTGGCAAAAAAAAAATATTCTCCTGATCATGTTCAGTCACTTTTTAAAAATCTAGACTTGCGATTCACAACTGTGCTCTATTATTTTCAATTAATAAGGAACTCTAATCTGACTTAGCATTTTCAAACCTGAAGAACTGCCATAAAAAAATGTAGAGGCCCCATGGCAAGGTAAGATGTCTATGCAACATTTAATACTTAAGCCTATGTTGTTAATAATCACTAGTATGTTAACCACATACCATCAGCTGAAGAAGAATCAAGTTACCAGCTGTAACGCCATGCCCCACCCCTCTCTAGAATCTGGCCCTAAAATTCAACAATTAATGTGACCAAGGGAAAAATAAGGAATTAAAATTAAGATTCAAAACAACAGATTTAATATAAGCAGATTTAAATGTGAGAAATGTTGTTAAGATTTATCATAGCTTACTCAGAAAACAAAATGTTTGCAGTGAAATGAAAATTAATCTAAGATGTATAAAGTACCAAACTTCAAAAATAGAGAATCCAGAAAGAGATCGATTTATAATGGTATAATCATACCGGGAATTTTATCTTAAATCTTTACTATATAGGTGACACACAAGCTTCTAATAGTGCTTTCTATCCCCACTGATCATAAATCAAGTGAAACCACTGTCATGCTACTGACTAGGTATATACATTTATCAAAGAAAGTATTAAAAAAAGTGACATAATGAACCTTGCTGAACCAATAAGCAGCTTGATTCAGTGTGGCTGTCCATTATATGATATTCTGTCAGCAATTTATCACAGTTCTTAACATGTTACATACAACCATAAATCAAAACTAGAAACAATGCAATTATTTTATTCTGAACAAAGGTCTTGCCAGGAGTAGATTCGACTGTGATGTGACAAAAATAATGGCTTTTTGGATGCACTATTGTATATAATGATGGCTAACAGGAATTGAATAGTATATTTACGCTGAGGAAATAGACTCAAGTGAGGGATGCCTTTAAACTGCTAAAACAATCAATCTTTAAAATTAACTACCACCTGATAAAGTCTGATGAGGATACAGAAGGAATGCTCTATTACACTTTCATCATACAGATCAAAAGGTTAGAATAATACACAAAGTTTCGGTTTTAAAAAGCTTTGTTCGCTAAGAGCCTTGAAACTACATCTATCAGTATTAAAAAATAAATATATAAACAGTAGAAGCCAGGGAACATAAAACACCTTTCTCACTGAACTTGAAATGATAACCCATTTTGCCCTCTCAACAGTCAACTCAAAAGAAACCTCAGATAACAAATGAAAATAAGTGATGCTCCATCCAATTTTCTGGTTTGGGATGGAGTGTCAATTTAAGACAATCGAACAGTCTGCTAAATGACTTCTCTGAAAAGGCAGTGAGTTGCTTCTCAATTCTGCGATTTAAAGCATTAACAATACATGGAAGCAAATATAACAACTGACAAATAAAAGTTGGCCCCAAATCCCAAAGTTAATTTTCTTTTGCATTAAAGCATTTCTATGTAGCTGGATTTATAAAATCGACTGTCAACTTTTTCCCCCCCATGTTGACTTTTCACCTTTAAATTCAACCAACATAGTCAGCAATCATGCATCAAGACAAAAATCACCCCAAAACCATCAACTCCTGCAATGAATATAAAGAGCCTACCTTTTCAGGCTGAGAGAAGGTCCCGGCATTACAAGGAGTTCTGGGATCCCACAATTTAACTGTCTGATCCCAACTTCCAGTGACCATCACATTCACTTCTGGACAGTATTCAACACATCTGATAGGGGCATCATGGGTCCCAACAAGATTTTCTATAGGAAAAAAAAAGTGGGGGGGAATCCCCAACATCTACCTTACTACCTTTACTAAAGATTCCTAAAATAAACAATTAAAAGAAACATTCATTCAACTGTAATCAATTTGCCTCATCCAACCCCATGGAAATGACTACAGACAGAAAAATCTCTCCATGACTACAAAGTTATCCACTCCTCTCTGTTCACCTTACAGTGCACACTTCCCATGACTCACTAGTATGGCACATACCAAAGGCTGTCTTGAATTTCAGATTACATTAAAGCAGTGGCATGTCTGTTATCTTCCTCATTTGATTCTAGATTTCCTATCAAGAACTGCGTTTAACTCTGTGATCTCTGCCGGTATCTAGTGCAAGCTCTGGTACAGGCTAGGTGCTCAAGAAACATCTGTTGAATGAACAAATGAATGGAGAACTCTGGTCTTCTGGATCAACAACATTTATGTTGAACATTAAGCCAATGCTGCTAAGAAACTTATTTACATGGCTAAAGGGTTATGAGAACTGGGAGTGAAGTCCTCTCATTATTCTACTTGGTTCCACTGTGGTTCAAATTTTCAATAGACATTTTCCTTCTTTTCAATTTGAACCTTCCCACCATATCTCATTTATTCCTTCAACATCTACTACATACCAGAATCTGTGCCAACTGCTAAGGATATAGGAAGGAACAATATATGGTCCTGACCTTCAAACAGTAAGGTTAGTCTCAGCACTCTGGGAGGCCAAGGTGGGCGGATCACAAGATCAAGAGTTCAAGACTATCCTGGTCAACATAGTGAAACCCCGCCTCTACTAAAAAATACAAAAAATAGCCGAGCATGGTGGCACGCACCTATAGTCCCAGCTACTCGGGCGGCTGAGGCAGGAGAATTGCCTGAATGCGGGAGGCAGAGGCTGTGGTGAGCCAAGATCACACTACAGCACTCCAGCCTGGGCAACAGAGCGAGACTCCATCTCAAAAAAAAAAAAAAAAGAAAGAAAGAAAGAAAGGATTTCATGAAGTTTGGCAGTGACTTTCACAGAATAAACAGCTAATTCTCTATGTAACACTGAAAACCGAGAAGTTTGCTTTTCAGTGTTTCTCCCTACCCCCCAAGTTTCTGAACAAATAGAACCTAGATCTCCAAGCTTACTTATTACACAGGGTAAGCTACTGGCAAACAAAACCAAATACCTGCAGTATAAGTTACAGATGAAAGTAAATTTCATGCAAAAGCCTCTTCTAATTGGGTGCTTAGTTTTTTTGACAAAATGTGGCCATCCTCCAACCATTCTCCCGTTGCTCAACTCATCTTCTATCTAGTCATATCTCCGTACCAACCTATCTCCTTAGGATATCTGTGTCTGATGAATATACATGCAAACAAATGCTCAGCTAGACAGCTCTATGCATGTGGGTTCCATTCCAATCTCTACACTGTCCCAATGTCACCAAAAAAATTTGAGTAAGTCATTTCATATCTGGACCTCTAAGAAATTACTTAACTGAAAGGAAATGTATCTAGTTACTCACTCAAAAACTGCAACTGAAACATATTTTGCTAAATAACTATAACAAACACAATTAATATAGACATGATTGCCTATTTTTTGTGAGGTTTTAAATCTACCTTTAGCTTCTGAAAACTAAATTAGTTTCTGAAAACTGAACTCTCAAAACATCAGCACTGTAGTGGAAAATCCTAATGAAACGTTGGCCAGTCTGGGATCCAGCCCACTTCTAAGAACAAAATAAAGGCCAAATACTTAAGTGTCAATGTATGTAAACACTGACAATGGTGACCACAACTGGCTTTCCTGCAAAAAAAATATATGCATAATGTTCTATAATCAGTAACTCAATGGTTATCATTTAAACAAAAAAATCCTAAATTCAAGCTACCTGTACTTAAGCAACTTGGTAACTAAGCAATTTAGGAACTACTCTTCCTACACAAACATTTATACTTTAGGACACCAGTCAAGAAAACAAACTGGTAAAGATATTGTCACATTACCTTGATCAGTGTTCAAATCATGCATTTTCAATTGATGATCTAGTCCTCCACTCCAGGCATGCGTTGGATCCTATAAAACAGTTTTGAACCATTTAAAAACTAGAACTTTTGAAAGGGTTTCAACGTTCTTATTTCTACAAGCAAGTGTTCAGTTTATGCTGAGGATATGCACTGGGCTCAACTATTCATGGCAAACAAACCAAAAAACAGCACAAAAAAGCAAGTGGTCACTAAACTCCTGTGTCAGGAAATTAAAGGAGGGCTGCTTTATTCTAGCCAACACGCTAGCTGAGGGTAAACATACATTTCCCCTAAACGGTTTCGTTCAGTACGGCAGCCAAAACAGTATTGTTGCAAATATAATGATCATTTATGTTCAGAAAGTTTACAGAGTTACTCCACAAGCCTTTAATGGAAAGGGGAAACGGAGTTTCCAATGTCTGCATATCCCCAAACCTAAAACGGTACCGGTTCAAGGCAGGTGCTCCTGAAAAGCTAAAGAACTGTCTAAACAACCCCACCGACAGACGCCTCTACCCAGCCCTGGAAAAGAAACGCTCCTAACGTGGAGAATCGTAACACAGGAAGAGGGCCGGAGCGGGGCGGGAGGGCACCTACGTAGAAGGCGCAGTCCAGGACAGCGCCGGTGTGCTGGTACTTGAGCCGCATGGAGTTGGCCGGCACATCGTAGAGGCGCACGGACGTGTCCCAGGAGGAGACAAGCAGGAACTGGGAGGTGTTGGGGCTGAACTTCACCGAAGAGATGCCATCCTCGGGTGGCTGGTTTAGCTTGAACTCGTTAGAACCGGTCATCTGCAGAACAGGGGCCCAGTCAGAGTCCCCAAGGGTCCCGCGGGCTGGGGCTGCGCACGGATAGCCTGGCGGTGGGGAACCCCAGAGGGAGGGGCCGAGACGACGACCGCGAGGAGTCTCTGCGCCTGCGCCGAGCACTAGCCCGCCAAGGTCGGAACTCGTCCCCTCATCCGGCCCTCGCCGCGCCCAAACCGGCCCGGCAGGCACCGCAGTCCCCCTAAACCCAGCCCGGCCTGCAGCGATGCCCGGACCCGAGACCGTTCCCTTTCCCTTCTCCCGGGTCCCGTCGGCCCGGACACTCCTAAAAATATAAGGGAAAACAATAGAAATGAAACGGGATCCCCTGCGAACGGAACGGCCCTGCCAGTTGCAGACCCGGGAAGTCCCTGGAGAGTCCGCTCCCGCACACGGTCGCCTCGCCTCCCTACCTTGGGCTCCCCTCAGAAACAACGTTTCCACTACTCGCCGCTCGCTACCACCGCCGCCGCCGCCTCCTTGCTTCCCTCAGAGCACTCGCAGGCTGGGCGAAGGAGGCGCAGAGGAAGCTCCAGCGTAGACCTGCCATTGGCTGATTTCAAACGCCAACGACTCAGTCTAGGCGGCCGATTGGTCCGCTCAGCTGCCCAGCATCGGTCAACCCAGTCATCCTGTTCCGGCTCAAAGGGAAACCGCTGCTTTTCCGATCACGTGGGCTCATTTTACCACTTCGCCGAGGCAACGGCGTTCGAGCTGGACGCGTGGAAACTACAACTCCCAAGGACCATCGCGCCAAGGCTCTGTTCACGCCCTCTCCTGCCCGCGTATGGCATTCTGGGAAATGTAGTTTTCGTGGGGGGGGGGCTGACGCTCTGCCCGCCCTCTGCATAGAAAGCGGGAAAGATCTTTACAGCTCTGTCTGTGGCGCCCTCCCCTTTAAGTTAGTCTCTGAAACACAAGAATCCCATTTTGGTCAATAATTCCATAGTGCTAAAGTTTTCTCCCTATCCCTGGATGTGCACACGCCCGTGAAGCTAACGAAAAGTTGATGTAGAGAAGAAAATATTTGCTCTACTCAATTAACTGCATTATTTTGCCTTGATTTTTTTTTCTCATTTCTTTGGAGTTTCCACCTATAAACCAGCGTCTCTCATTTCCCATTGTCTCAAGTTCTACTGAAGAAACCCGTTCATATTTATATTATGCTTTATCTCTCCACCCCATCTTTCCACAAACATTTATTGAGCCTCCGCTGGTGCCAGGCCTGGTGAGAGGCTCTGGAAAGATGCATGTAAACAGACCAGCCTTTGCCCTGGAGGAACCCCCCTTCAGAAGGGTGAACAGCCTGGGAGACGGTACTCTGCAATGTGTTAAAGCTCCCACAGCTTCTTTTAGAGCTGCTTATTGAAGGATCCTGAAACAACAGCTACAAGCCTATCCCCTTCCACTCTGTCCTGCCACTCCCCAAAGTTGCAGGCTCAGTGTGCTCCATTTACTGTTTTCTAGAATCCTCTAGAAATGAGAATCAAGAAGGTTGCTTGAGTAATGAGAAATTATTTTATCTCCATGAAAGAAAAGCAGTACTTAATCAGTAGAATGAAGTGACTGAGTGATTCTTGAATGTCAAAGGTTCACTGAAAAATTTCGATTTAATCGATGCTTTAACTGCTTTTTCACTGCCTTTTGTAAAAGAAAAATATATATTGTTTTATTTGATTTTGTACGAAGTGAGAGAAAATTGTTGGGGTTAAAGTGATTAACTTTTAAGGGACATAAATGAGAAAGTGTTGATGATCTTTATGCATTCACACACCCTGAACTGGATGCACATCTTTGTATGATTCCTGATACAATAAACACGCAACAGCAACCTTTCTGCCTACTGCATTGATGATATTACTGCTGAAAGACTCTTGCCCTCCTTCCTTGCCAGTCTGGTACTTGGTTCTCTATCTCTTCTCTTTCCACAAGTTAATGGCTGAATTCAAAATTTTAAAATGCAGTTCCTTACTTCCATTCTAACTTTAGCTAAATAATTTTACCTCCTGACTTATCTGGTTCCTTCTCCCAGTTGTTTATTTAATTATATTATTGTTCCAAGATTCTGAGCATGAATTACCCACTAATAAAATCTAAGTGTATTTCATTATCCAGTGTGTGTATGATTCAGGTCCCTCTGGGCATGCAGTTGCAGCCCAGCTCGATTTGAGTTTTAAGAAACGTCAATCTTTTAAATCCAGTTTAGAGGCTGAAAGGAGGCTGATTATTTTGCTGATTATTCAAATGAATTGATAGTCTTGAGACAGGAAATCTGGCAACAATGGAGTCCTGAACAACATTTAAATCCAAATGCAAAGTGTGTGTGTGTGTGTGTGTGTGTGTGTGTGTGTGTGTAAAACTTAGTTATCTGTAAGAGAGGAATTTCTAAAAACTAATTATACTGTTGGATCACGGTTGACAGCTAGTTTCTGGATTAGTAAAAAGAATGAAATAAACACATCATGATAAACTGGAAAAGGATCATTCCCTAAAATTTTAAGGGCACAGATCACTGTCACTAAGTGACTGCAATGGTTATAAGAAACCATTTCCTATAAGGGAAATCTACAGAGGATACAGTGACCCAACACTGTTAAAACCATGATCTCTTGTAAAAACTGTAATCTGTTGAAATGCAAACAAAAATGATATGGATGGAATATTCCTATAGAAGCAGTTCTTTATACGCAGTTTGTTTTTTTCGTGGAATCTTCAAAGAACATTAGAAAAAATTTTAAAAGTCATCTGGAGCAAAAGAATTTCACTGAAATGAAGTATATGTATACGATAAATCACAAGAAAACGGATCCACTGTCTCTTTTATCTGACTGCCCAATAGCATAGTTTCCCAGCATGTACTAGGGCCCAGTAAATATTTACTGATGTAAACTCAGTTGAAATAAATGTAATTGAACTAACCTAGTATCAGCAGATGTGTTCTTGGATAACATCCTTCTGACATCACCTTGGAATAGATGGTGATTTTTATGAAATCTAATGTGAGGAGAAAAAATATGATCTCAAAATGGACAACATCAGATAGAATATTTTTGGCCAGTTTACAAAAAACACTGCGAGTTACATAGACGTTTACAGATATCCCGTATATATTCACAAAATGTAGATAATTTCGATGCCTTGCAGCTCAGAGTCAACTTTCACACGCAAATGTTTTCCTTCTAGCGGATGAGACAGGGCCTTAGCGCTGCGGACTCCAGGTTCCTTTGCATCCGCTCTGCGGGGCCAGAGGCCAGAGGCAGGTGGACGGAGGAGCTCGCCCCAGGTGGTGCTGAACCACCGGCTTCCTCCAAGCTCAGGCTTCCTTTTTCGACGTTTTGCCAAGAACAGGTGGCTGCAATCTAACGGGAGCGAGAATCTGCAATTTGCATGGCACTCCCGCGGCTATTCTCTCGGTGCAGCGCCCTCCCAGCCCCTGCGCGGCCGCAGGTGTCAGGGCGAGGAAGTCCGTGGGCGGCCCCGCCGCGCGTCACGGTTCCATTCAGAGCAAGCGGCCGCGTGCTAGCCGGTGATCCAGCCACACGCTGAACCAATGCAAACTATTAACAACAAAAGAGTGTAGGGAAGCGCCTTTGCCTCCCTCGCCTTTTTTGCCTGGTACTGGTTCTCGGATCTCTCCTGAGCCGAAGTACTGCCTCACCGCTCCCAGTTTCCTCTCTGCGTGGCACACATAACTCCGCCACCGGCGGGGTAGCTGGGCGCAGCGACAAGCTCGTAGCACCAAACTCGCGGCGAGCTAAGTGGAGGCTTTACCAGGTACAAGCAGCGCCATCGCCTGCTTTATACCCCTGGAGAGGAAGTGCGCGGCACAGGGGACGTCGTAGCGTGACCTGCTGTGGCCAAGCTCAAGGCGAGCCCAGTGCTGGGAATATGCCGCTGGGCACCCGGCTCGCTCGTTCCCGGAAGGCAATCGCTTAAGTGGCGAGGCCTGCCTCCCTGTCTTTGTCTTTCTCCGCGCGGGCTCAGGAGCTGGATTCCAGCCGGAGTGCACCCCAGCCGGCGCGTCGATTCTGGGCGAAGGAGGGAGAGTGGGCGGGCAGCTCCAGCCACGTGCAGTCTGGGCGGCGCCAAGGTCCCGATCTTTAACCCCTGACCCCAGTCCCACCCTCCACGTGGCGCGAGCCAGACTTCTGCAGAGAGACGCATGCAAGTCTTTCCACCGAAAAACCTGAAAACCTTCCGTGCGTTATCATGCCGGGCAATTAATCCCACCAAAGTTAGCAAAGATGTTTAAAATGTTTTATTTTTTTCTCTTTAAAAATATTTACAGATCTGAACTCTCCTCTTTTCGTCCCTACCCATCCTCGGGATGAGGGAAACGAAAAGAAGCAATTAGGTAATTGTCCAAAGCCTCTGAGGACCTGGCTTGGCCGAGCGTGTATGCATGTACATATATACAGGTGTATATATGGGGGAGGAGTGTACCTGCTTTTGTAGGTGTTTTCCTGATTTTTTTTTTCCTACCAACCAGAGGCTGTCTGGCCAAAACTCCCTTTCCCAACACCACCCGAGAACATCCCACTCCGAATGGTTTTCAAAGCGTACTGGTTGGGTCTAGGTAGAAAGCAGGCTCTCTGACTTAGGGAATGCCGATAAATACCCGAAACAATCAAAACAAAAAGTAGGGCAGAGGCCATAAATAAGAGCTAATGAATACACATAGTGTATTTCTTCATATTTCTGGAAACATGCCGCCTTGCTCCGGAGCCCTGCTTACAGTGCAGTCCGCGCCCGGCTCTGCGGGCAGCTGGAGGCGGCCCGGGGCGCAGGCTGGCGGCGCCGGGAGGCGGGCGGGTCAGTAGTCGAGCTTGTTGTAGAGGTTGTAGAGAGGTAAGGCCGAGAGGTTGCTGCCCGGGTAGTAGAGCGGCGCGGGAAAGGCGAGCGAGCGTGGCACCGGCACGCGCAGCAGCGAGCTGTCCCGGAACACCAGCGGCATGCCCACCAGAGTCTGCGCCGACGCGTGCGCCATGTTGGCCGCCTCCAGCTCGGCCGAGAGCTGCCGCTTCCACTTGTTGCGGCGGTTCTGGAACCAAGTCTTGACCTGGGTCTCCGTGAGCTGCAGGCTAGAGGCGAGGCAGGCGCGCTCCGAGCTGCTCAGGTAGCGCTTCATGTCGAAGGTGGACTCGAGCTGGTACACCTGGCTGCGCGAAAAGACTGTGCGCGTCTTCTTCTTGGCCGCGCCAGCCTGCCGCTCGACGCCGCCGTCCCGCGGCCGCTCGGACCCCGGTGAGGGCGAGCCTGCGGGCAGGAGCCTCTCTTTCTCTTCTTTAAAGTCCGAGTGCGAAGGAGAGAGGAAAGACGTGCGCTCCGAGCCGCCCGGGCCCGAGCCTCCGCTGCCCTTGGGTGTACCTGAGAAGCGAGAGCAGACAAGAAGGCCATGGAGTTGGTTGGGGAGCCTCGGAGACCGCCAGCTCTCCCTGGGACCATGCAGTTGGCAAGCGCCTGCCGCCTTGGTCCCACCTTACCAATCCCCTCCTCTTATCCCTCACTGGCTCCCCAAACCCAGCACCCTGTCCC